AAGTTGCATAGCCAGATCTTCAAACTAGAAAAGGGAAATCATATGGGTGTCTTGATCATTTGATTGGTTCCTAACAGTTTGAAACATGATTTCATTTCGTTGTGCAATTTATGATTTAAACCAGAAGCCCAACATAAATCGGTCAATGGGAATTTGATTTTTTTTTGAGGATAAACTAAACAGATCAGGTGAAGAAGAAGAATAAAATGAGAGAGAGAGAGAGAGAGAGATTTGGCTTTTTTAATTTTTTTAATTTATCTTATAATTAGAAAAATATTTAAATAAATAAAAAACTAAAAAAAGCAAAAAGCAAGGGCAAAATCGTCTTTATAAAAAAGTTCAAAGCAAATCGGACCAAACTCGCAACAAAATAAAAAGTTTGGACCTCTGGTGCTAGTCCAAACTTTTTTAGACCAAAATAGCAATTTTCAGCTAACCACAGGGACCATTTGTGCAATTTTGTCTTTCAGGAACACTAGGTATTTAGTTTATGATCTCAATTCTAAATGCGTATTCGACTATCAATTGTATCACACTCAAAATTAACTAAAATAACAAGAAAAAATTACCTCTCCCCTCTAAAAATTCTGGGCTGTTTAGTTTGACGGAGGCAGGCTGTGATATGAAGTCGGTAGGAAAACAGTTGGCCATTCAAACACGTAATCCAGATGTTGTCTGTGAAATTCTCGACGTGGGAGAAGAAACTGAACGTCACTGTGATGATACTGATGTCCAGTCAGAGAATGTTTATGTTTGAGTCGGTGAAGTTCTTGCCGGAGATGAAGGCGAGCGTGATGGAGTAGTGAGGGAGAGAGAGGAGAGCTCAGTCGTTAACGTTTCTGGTGGTGATGCAACTATGACGTGAAGGGTTTAGTGTAGGTTGACCGTTGGAGCCTTGGAGGCAACGTGACTTTTGAGTTTCCATCAATAAAATAAGAGAAAATTGCAAATTTAGCCAAATACATTAATTATTTTGTGGAAAATAGCAAAAAAAAAAAACCCAAATTACAAAATTAGCCCTTAAAATCGCAGATGGATTAAGCCCATCTGCGATTTTGTATTTCCATCTGCGAACGTACAAGTGCCTAAAGCACAGATGTGCTTTAGGCACTTGTACGTTCGCGGATGGAACAGTCCATCTGCGATTTTGTGTATTCCATCTGTGATTTCGTAGAGATTTAGTATAAAAACGTTTTTTTTTCATTTTTCACTATCTTTTTTAGAGAAACTCTCTATCCCTACGATTTCCTTAGAGTCATCATGGACGATTTCTTCAACAATCCCGAAACAACATTTTAAACAAATTTTCCAAAGAAATAACAAAAAAAATGATAATTTCTTGAAAAAAATTATATATAATAAGGTTGTTTCGTAGTCAAACCCTATCAATTTCGTAGTAAAAAAAAATTCAAAAAATCGCTGGTGAAAACGAGAGGAAATCGCAGATGGACTATGTCCATCTGTGATTTTATGTTGGAAAAGGAGATATATATACATCGAAAAAAAATTAAAAAAAAACCACCTGCGAACGTACAAGTGACTAAAGCACAGACGTGCTTTTGCCACTTGTACGTTCGCAGATGGGAAGGCGAAATCGCAGATGACTTATATCCATCTGCGATTTTAGTGGCTAAAAATGCAATTTTGGTTTTTTTGGCTATTTTCCACAAAGTAATTAATGTATTTGGCTAAATTTGTAATTTTCTCATCAAATAATATTTTGGATTAATCTTGTTAGTTCATTTGGGTATTGGATCCATGTTGGGTTTTGGATCTATAAATTCCCCTTTACATGGATTTTATGTGTCCTATAAGAAACCCAAAAAAAAAAAAAAAAAAAAACAAAAACAAAAACGAAAAAAATCCTATCCTCGGTACGTTTGACATGTCAAATACAATTTTAGTTTTCATATGCACCACCAAGTAGCTTTAATAATCACCTTTGCAATCAATCCCACCAATATAAAATAACATCCATAATACAATCAAATTAGTTCTTAACCAGTAACAATTTCCATATAAATGCATGAAACCTGATCATCAAATTTCCAACATTGATATGTATTGAGCTATATTTGATTTCAATGATAAATGAATTTCCAACATTAGTTATGGGTTTTAATATTATAACTTATACTTCAATAGCTAACATGTTGATTTTGTGAAGGAGGGAATGTCCATGGTGACTCTGTTAGATCTTGAAAAATAAACGTAAATGTAATTTTTAAAAGCTTGTTGAAAGTTTTGTTGATGCAATTAACTATATAATTTTTTGGGTACATGTTATAAGGTTTTCAATGATCTTGTATGTAAGTTTTTGTATATGTAGGAAACCTTTTTCTCATAAATAAAAAGCATCAAGTCACGTCACGCTGCATAGTAAACCTTTTGAGAACTAATGTATCTAATATTGTTAAGATCATATCCAACCAATTACACCGTTTTTACATTAAATTGGCATATTTTTTTTTGTGTAAAACGTAATTTATCTTCAACCTACTATATTGTTTTTAACATTAAAAAAAAAAAATTCAAGCTCTTTGGTGCTTATTGCTTTTTAATGCTAAAATGATGTTTGGTGTTTAGTGCTTTTTTAATGCTAAAATGATGTTTATTGGCATATTTGGTGTTTATTACTTTTTTAATGATAAAATGATGTTGATTAGGAATGATTGCAATACTTTCCAAGCTCTTGTATATATAAAAATCAACTCAATAAATGTCGAACACTCAAGTGATAACAATCTAAACAGGTGTTACATTGTCAGATAGATTTAAAAAAAAAAATCAAATGACAAGGCTTCCACAATAGATAAATGTACTCACATTTTTCGAGCAACTTGAACACTAGAAGGGAGCATCCGAGTGATCCACGATCGACTACAACTCCCTTCTCGTGCAATATTGCCCTTGAAAGTATAATCGGTTATATAATTAAAAGGCAAACCCAACTTTGGCTTAAGGTTGACTATGGTACTATTATTGTTAATATTTTTATGGGAAATCTCCGGAAAAGTCCCAATATTTTACCCTAATTTACGAAAAAGTCCCAAACTAAAATTTGTTTACGAAAAAGTCCCAATTACCGGTAAAAACGACGATTTGACCCTATTTTCCCGATTTCATTAATTACCGGGTTTTAATAAAGTCTCATTATTTTACCATAATTTACGAATAAGTCCCAAATTATGGTAAAATAATGTGACTTTAATGGAAATTATGGTAAAATAATAGGACTTTAATGAAACCGGGTAAGTATTGAAACCGATAAACCGGAAAAAAAGGGTCAAATCGTAATTTTTTCCGGTAATCGGGACTTTTTTATAAACCAATTTTAGTTTGGGATTTTTTCGTAAATTAGGGTGAACTATTAGGACTTTTCCGAAGATTTCCTTATTTTTATAGACATGTTTTGTATATATATCATATACTAGGTTATAACCCGTGGAAACCACGGTTGATATGTTTATAATTATTATATATAAAATATATATATTAAATGTCAACAAAAAGTTGTAGCGTAATTTGGATTGACTCAAGTGTTGCAGGCCTAGGAAATGCCTTCAAGGATAGCGAAAAGAAGTTTGTAAGATTCCTAAGTATGTTTTCCTAGTTATACCCTTTGATATATTGTATTTACAAATTAAAGATAATTCTGTACTTCAAAAATATCATAATGCATAAAAAGGTAATTTGATTATGGTCAATGCATTGTAGCATAAGAATATTAGCAGGTTACAATATATTTTTGGATTTATTTAATAAAAAGAGAAATTTTATTAATTTTCCAGAAAATAAGACATTTTTAAATTTTCAGTAAAAATAACAAATAAATATTTTATAATATATGCAAATGGAATTAAAATAGCCATGTCCTTGTTAAAAATGTATTTAGATTAATTTAAAGTTTCATTTCTTCCTCTTACAACGATATTTTTTTTGAAAACATGTCTTAATACTCTAAAATAGCAATGAACTTTTAAAGTACATTGCTATAATTTACAAAATCCTGGCTATTTGTTCATTTAAAAAAAAAAGCGTGTGAATTTGGTATTCACTGCAAGAATAACATATTAACACACAAGTTTTTTATGGTCTAAAAGCAAAGAAATGGTGAACCAAAAAAATAAACATAAACATATCCCTTTTCTGAACCTTTTTAATCATAAGATGTTTCTGAATGGATTAAAAAATGTGTATGCATAGAATGCTAGAAGCTAGTTTTCAAAAAACATCCATAGCCACCAGGCTGCCTTTTTCCTTTTTACTTCAATTGTAAAGGGTGAGGTGCTTGGAAAGTAGTGACCAACAGATTGCCCAATTTTATCAATCAAAAATTTTGCAGAGTTCTATTTACTTTATGATATCTTTTTGTTTTTATTTTGTAGCTATGTCATAACATTTGGTTCACACAACTCTCCTGTAGATGTGATTTATAATCACTTGGATGCAAGTCATTATTTTATATTTCCATGGTTCCAATAAATGATTATTAGAATTCAAAAAAAAAGTCTAAAGAAGTTAGGACTTAAAATTTTAATTATGTCCCCATTAATCAATAAAGAAACAAGAAAAATATCATTTTAATTAACTATATCCCCATTCCCATTAAGTAATAAAGAAACAACAAAAATATCATTTTTTCTGATAAGAGATATATGTCATTTTTTTTGTTTTTTTTTCCAGACTATCTATTTACCTGCTATTTTCATATTTTTGCCCAAAAAATAGAAAATTGGCAATTTGTACAATGCTATTTTCAACACGACTCTTAATGATAGAAAAATATCTGTAGTTGACCATTTAAAGTGAAAAATACAAAATTAGTACACACATCACAGAATATAAATAACTGTCCATGTTAAACTTAAAACTACATAAAGTACGTTGTATGCTTGGTCCTTGTTAAACTTAAAACTACAAAATTGGTACACACATCACAAAATATACATAATTGTTCCCTATTAAACTCAAAACTACATAAATTGTCCTTGTATGATCGGTACCTTTTCTACACAAATATACAGCTATAATAAAAGTAGGATATAAACTCTTTTGTTTTATTAGTTTTTCTTTGTGTTTCAAATGTTCTAAATATTGATAGGTTTGCTTCGTATAAATTATAACTATGACCTCACTATAACATCGTTGTGTTTCTGAATCTGTAAAAGTTAGAGCTTCCTATCAATGTTGATTTATGTGTTTTATAAGCTTGTAAGTTGTAACAAATGGCACAAACGGAAGAAATTTCAATTATAGAAGTAAATAATATTTAAATAATTTTTGTTTATTATAAGAAAAACAAAATAGATAGTTAATCTTACCATGATAGCACCACTCCACGTAATGTTATCAAATCACATTTAGGACATAAAAAAAATGAAACTTATCATTTAGTGGAAAGTCAAACTGAAATGTAACATTTTAAAAAGGTAAAAGAAAAAAGAAAAAATGAAAAAAGTTGAGATATTCATAATGTGTACAAACCTGTAGACAGCAATCGTTCCAAGAAGCTTGTAACATAAACATCCGGCCTACGAAATGACAAAAAGCCATCTGAGATAAACCTTGAACCTTTAATCTAATTGCCAAATAGAAAGTAAGTATCACAATCAATTGTTACTTATCACCCATTGTATTAGTAAAAATACCATAACATCAATAATAGGAACAATAAAAATAACAGAAATGTTAGTGGCAATGACATAAGAGTATGCTAAAGAATTTCAAAAGCTAAAAGATGACTTGATTATAAAATCGTACAAGTAAAAAAGATTGTTTTAATTTTTAACTCTAAAAGATATAACATCTTTTTGAAAAGTTCTTGGACTGCAAGCTTTCTGCTTAAGCCTTTTTCAAAATATCTTGATATATGCATAACAACTGGACTTACAATACGTAAGAAATAAATATTCAGTAAACAAAAATGCACCAATCAGATGTACATATGCACCACATAAACAAAATGTTGGTTTATCAACTAAACTATTAGAAGTTAAATTACCTTCATAACCATGATCTTTCTTAAAAGCTCAATATGAAATACTTTCAAATGTGGAATGAATCGTTTGGGCTTGAAGTAACCTTAACAACTGCAGTTAATTCAGTTCCTTGTGAATTACTTGAGGAAAATAGTCAAACCTTGTAATGAATGCAATAGGTCGGTAATCAGATTACCATTTTCTTGCATATGATGATCACTAACAACCACCTACAAGTAAAATATAAATCAAGAAATAAAATTGTATACATATACAATTGGCATTCAAGTCAAGAAAATATTGTTTGATACATGTTTCAAAAAGGAAGTACAAACCAAGATAATTTGTGATCACTTTCTTGATTCTAGATAACACTTAGAGTGAATCAATTTTATAACTTCATCTATTTCCTTGAGTTTTGGTCCCATTACTATACTGAAACAGAGAATAAAATCAACAATAAAGTCGTATTTAAAGATAGTGATTTTGGTGTAGGATTAAAATAGGTATTGAGATCCATAACTACTAACATATAGATCTAGATCAAGAAATACATAGTAATTATCAGAAACAGTACCTTCTCAAAGTGTCTTGCTTCATAGATTCAGATCCATATCCCTAAATAGATCCATGATTCAGAAACCCATGATGATCATATAAGTGTGACAGTGGTGAAGGAGGTGGTACGTGGAGAAGAAGGCAGAGCAGGGGAAAAGCAAGTCTGGACATAACGGTTCCATCTTCAATGTCTTCCCTTTTCAGGAGCTGTAAACACATACAAACACATGCATACACACAACATTGTTAGACAAATTTTATAAGGAGAGATAGAGACTCGATTGTGAAACCATGGTGTAGAACCGGATCCATGAAGAAATCCCTGTGAGAAGAAAAAAATTAATGACAGAGGGGGTTCAAGAAGAGAAGGCAGCGGCAGTTTGTGTTGGTGAGCGTTACTTCGAAGCTAAATAAAAAAAATCAACATATTAATCACACTTGGTATAGAATATCTGAAACCTCGAACCCTAAACCATATGATTTTAACTCTCTTCAGAGAAGATCTTTTTATATAGGGAATCAAACCCATATTTTTTCTTTCAAAAATCATCCTATGTTGTTATTATGAATGAAACCTTAACAGGTATCAATGGATGTAACCAAGAATCAAAATCTTTATAGGATTTGAGAGAGAGAAAAGACGAGAGTGTTTTCAAAATCATAATTTCAATGTTAGATTCATTCAAATAAAATGAAGGATGAAGCAAGGTTCATAGATTGTAACTTAGGGTCAATGAAGCGTACCTGAATCAAGGTTGCAGTGAATGTGAAGGGAAGGGTCGGCCATGGGCAACTACTTTGCCTCGAATTTTGCAGCAATCGAGATGGAGATGGAGAAAAAGTAGGTTCTATGTATTTTACAAGCAAAAGAAGTTAGGGATTTTAAAATTAAACTGTAGACGAGTTCAAAGGATCGAATTTTGGGGCGAGATTTGGGGCAAGATATGATTGAAGATTTTGAAGATTAATTATGGATGGATTGAAACACCCTAGAGGAAAATCCATGAGCGGGAAAACATAACGTAGAGAGTGCAAAAGAGTGACACGTGGTATGTTTTGGGGTTAAAAAGATGACAAAGTGGCAAGTAAAAGAGTCTTTTAATAAAAGAGGGGATCAGTCCAGCTCACTTGTTTTTGTAATATGTATTTATTCTCCGAAAAATAAGATATCATTTACTGAAAAAATATTACAAATTTGTAGGTATTGCACCTACAACCTACAAAAGGCCACGTTTTGTTCTTCATGATATTATCATTTCTTTGGTTTTCCAAATTACAATTCTTAAATTACATTTTTCTTGATTAATTTCGTCATGGCAATTTAACAAAAAAAAAAAAGTCATTAAAACCACTACCTACCACTAAGAGAAATTTTGATTGCCCTTAACTGATCTTCACGACAATCGATCTTCAACTGGGAAGTTTAGCCTTAGTTTATTAGTAAACTCATTTAGTTCGATTCGTGTTATACAAAGGTCAGAAATACAACATTATCGTGTTAAACATAGAAAAAAAAAGTTATCAACCATCAAAATAAGAAAATAACAAATATAAATACTACAGATAAAAATAAAAAATAAATAAAAAAAAGCACGTTTTTAATGACATCAAGTATTACTATTTATATTACAATATGACTCCATCTAACCCAACAATGCATCAAAAAACAATGAAATTTCTAATGAGATACCAATTACTATATGAACTTCTTCGCTATGGAGTTTTTTATATAGTTAATTACTAGTTTTTTTAAACAACAAATCTATTAACTTCTAAACTATTTCTAATTTCATGTCTTGGATGAAACAGGAGGGCATCAGAACAAAACCTATGCCGATGGATTTGAAGCCCGTTGGGCTAGATCCCTTTAATATATATAGTTAATTACTTTTATGTTTCTTACATCTAATTTTTATTCTATTTGAAATTTGACATGTTTCATTTTAGCTAAATTTTAGAATATGATCATTACTTATTAAAAATATAAATATGATTGAAGTCAAATAGTCTTCAAGTAAATAGTTAAAGTATCCAACTCTATGACGTTATGATACTATACATATAAAGGGATCAAGAAACTTTCGTCATTTATTTTATGTACATTTTAAAAGAAAGTTCAACGATTACATATTTACAATTTTACATGAGCAAAATCAGAAAATTTACACTATTGTTCCTTATTTTTTTGTCGATTTAACTAATACAAATGAGGACAAGAGCCCTAAGTTGAAACTAATTTGATAGAAAGTAACCACTTGATTAATTTAAAAAATGTCATGTAATAAATATATAATTACAAGAATATAATATGTAATTGATAGCGTTTGTCATTTAAACATGTAACCAAATTCAAACCAATATTATATTTATTGATTGTCTGAAAAAAAGTTCTGCAATGGTGGACAAAAACACATATATTTATTGTGTACAGGTGCATCTACACATTCCAAAAATTAGAACAAACAAAACTGGAGTTTGTTGTATAACAATCAACAAATATATTTCCATGTATATATGCTGGTAAAAAAACAATTCAAATCTCTCAACTAAATTAATCATGTATTTTTTTCAATCACTCAAGGCAACAACATAAATCAAACTTATATACTCTTCATTTGCATTCATTTATCTTTTAGTTCTTACCTTTTCATCATTTCCCAATTTCTTGCAGGTCTGTATACGACGAAGATTCAAGTGCAAGATCTGTAATACAACTCGATGATCGACTGAGTCGGATGCTACCGGTGTGCCTCAATGGACTACTTGGCGCAGACCTTAATGATCTTGGCGACTCCAAACTGCGCCGGAGAATCTGTCTCATAGCAGTGATCAAATGAACCGCCGGATTCGGTGGCGGATCTGACGACGATGACATCCTGCAAAAGTTCATATGACGAAACATAGCCTCTTCGGTGCTGATCATCAGCCTTTCGCTCCTCATTATTTCATCTTTCACCGCCTCTCCACACAATCCGCAGATCCATTTACCGTCATACCTCTCCCGGATCCTCTCTATATACGCCGGCGTACACTCCTCCGTCAATCCGCAACAATCACACGTAGCAAACTCTACTTCCGTCGTCTGAGAATCCGTCGGAGGTATAATCATCGCATCGCTTATAACTGTAGTAGACATATCTGCAACGAACAAGTAACAAAACTATTCATCAGTAAGCCAATCATATCAGCATAGAATCTCAAAATTAACAACTCGATCCAAACAAACTAAACAAATCATATTAACCAGTATTTCAGTAATCAAAATTCAAAATCTATAATTCTATGGAAACAAACGAAGTTAATTACCAGTAGTAGAAGCAAGGGGGGTTTGATAATTTGTGCAAACAATGAATCTCGTTAAAATCAGGTGAAATAAACAAAGTCGCCGTATATACAAATCGTAATCCTTGATCTCTCTATTGGAACTCTTCTTCTTCAACATTCGATTCTTCGGTAAAAACGAACAAACATCTGCTAGACATTTCAGATGAATTTGAATCTAAATTCTCACTGTTTTTGTTACGACCAAAATGAAAAATCAAAGTGGTTTTGTTGTGAGGGAATAACTGAATGATTAGAATTAAGCAGATTGTGCAATATATATGTGCTTTGAAATGGAATGATAGCCATATAAAGTATATTATTAGTTGCCAGCTGTATGTACATTTGTCACAAATTTCTAGCACCACGTTTGAAAAAACAAGTATTAACTTTACAATATTATATCATCTTCTAAAAGAATTACAATATATGTTATATAGTTGTATAATGTATTTAAACCTCTTTTAGATATTAAAAAAAACTATATATTCTTTACAAAAAATTAATTATGATATTTATTCATCTAACAGATCATTTAACGTAAAGTGACAATATACATGAAATTTTATAAGTTCAAAATCGGTCTAAGTTATTATTATGTGTATTTAGCTAGGATAAGAACGTAACTTTTTTTAATTTATTTTATTACAAAAAGGAAATATCTTTTTTAGAGTATTTATTATTAGCTAGGATACACATATGTTTATTGATTCTTTTATATTGACAACTGATTTATACATTTGATTATTAGTTAAAGACTTTTTATTCTAAAATACATTACTATATATGTGCGAAAAAAACTAACGAATTGATCAAACTCCGAATAAAATGCATAAATAAATCATAAATGAAGATTATATATCAACCAAAACTGTACTAATGAAAAATAAGAAATACACTTAAAAGATTATATATTTTGTTTAAAGGGTATAATCTTTTGTCAAGATCAACGTGTGATTAAAAAATATATATACATATTCAACGGACGGTATATGTATATTGGAAGATAAACATATTCAAAGGACCGTGTTTCTCTATTTAATAAAATATCTTTTAATTAACTACTTTTCTTTAACATGAATTACTGAATTAGAGTAAAATATTAAATAAGAGGCTCCCTTGTGAAGAGTTGTGTGTTCCTTTTGGTCCATTTTTTTTTTCATTTTATTTATTTAATCTCTCCTTTTTTTGTGCCTGAGTTTTTAAGCATTTTCATTTTCCCCTTTTGGTATATGAAACTTACCATGAAGCTTTATGTAACATCCCATCTGTCACGTATCACAATATTGTCCGTTTTGGGCTCCCCGGCACGAAAACTTTACAGGGGTCACCCATTCCTGGATTGCTCTCGCATGGGCACGCTTAACTGCAGAGTTCTTATGGGATCTGCTGCCCTCACGGATTTAAAACGCGTTGTGACAATGAAGATATACACACTCCTTATAAGGAAATTCTTCGTTCCCTTCTAAGTCGATGTGAGATCAGGTGCAACCCACCTTCACTCCCCATTATAGAGTTCGCGTCCATGTCGAACACATCAACCCGTGCCCCAACTTTGATATCATTTGTAACATCCCCATCTGGCACGTCTTGTGATACGTGCCAGAGGGGGATGTTACAAATGGTATCAGAGCTGGAGCACGGGTTGATGTGTTCGACGGGGACGTCGAACCTTATAATGGGGGGGGGGGGGTGAAGCTGGGTTGCATATGATCCTACATTGTATGGGAAGGAGAATTAACCATTCCTTATAAGGGGTGTGGATACCTTCCTTATCACAATGCGTTTTAAAGCCGTGAGGGCAATAAATCCCATAAGAACTCTGCAGTTAAGCGTGCTCGGGCGAGAACAATTCAGTGATGAGTGACCCCCTGAGAAGTTTTCGTATCGGGAGCCCGAAGCGGACAATATTGTGATACGTGCCTGAGGGGATGTTAAACTTTACCCCTGTCCTTGGTTTGAGAGCGTTGTTGTACACATGGTGACGTTGGGATATCCACCGTATACGTGTTTCGATTTCAATATTCTCCTCCTTCTAGACAACGCCATGGGGTTAACTCCACCGCCTCTTCTTAGGTCGGACGGAGTGGGAGCAGGGAACGGTCGCGGGAAGCTTCCCGCCCGGCGGAACACCGCACCGTCGGCGCGGGGAAGGGTGGTGCGGGAATGGGTGAGGGAAACCTCTCCCGCGTTCTCTCTCCTGCTGTGATTCGATGATATATATATATATATATATATATATATATATATATATATATATATATTAAAATCAACCGTTATTCAACGGTAAAAAAAAAAGAAATAATTTTATTATTATTTTTTTTTGGGCCGTAACGGCTAAATGGATTTAAATCCATTTTTTTGTTTTTTTTAACCTTTTTACACACCTATAAATACACAACTATTTACCATCAAACAAAATTCACACAAATCCTCTACTCTCTCCACTTTCTTCTAAAAAAAAAAAGAATCCCGACAATCAAACCCCACCTTCCGATCGAAGGAAAAAAAGCCATGGTTCGAGTATAAACATCCATTCTCGAAACATTTTTGCTATCGATTCATCACCACAAGGAGTTTATCGCCCCCAACTCGATGCTCCCATTCAATCCCCACTACAATTCCAATACCAAAATGTTGGACAATATTACCCGATGCAAGTTCCAAATGTTTCGCCGCAAATGTTTTCAAACTTTGTTGTGTTTCCGGATCAACAATCGCCAAATCAACCTCAACCTCAAACCCAAACTCAAACTCAAACCCAAACCCACCAACAACGCCAACTTGTCGACGAGTTGGATGACTCGGAAGAAGAAGAGATGGTTCCCGAAACTCAACCCACACCACCCCCACAAAGACGTAAAGGGAAAAAACAAGCGTGCAAGGGTGTCGCACAACCGGGTTGACAAAAGCCGACTGCATGGCTTCCACACGAAGAGCTAGTTTTGGTCAAATCTTGGGCTGACATTTTTGAAGATTCGATTCAAGGAAACGCACAACCAGGAGACCATTTTTGGTTTCGCATTTTAGAACGGTTTCGAGAGAAGCTAGAAAAAGGTGACGACTACCGTACGAAACATCAACTGAATTCGAAGTTTCGAGAAATAGCAAAGGGGGTTTCAAAAATAAACGGGTTGTACAACAACCTAAAACCCTAACGGAAAAGCGGCCAAGGCGACGAACAAATACTTCAAGAAGCTTTGCAGTTTTACCTTGAGGAAGTCGGGAAACCATTCAAGTGGCACGATTGTTAGAAAATATTGGTCCGATGTCCTAGGTGGAAAAAATACGAGCAAGATTTTATTTTTGGAGTCCAACAATCAAAGCGAACGAAAACGGGCTCTAGTGGTTACACAACCTCCTCCGATGCTCGGGTCGGTCTAGATTTAAATCAGGATGACGAACTTGAGCTAGAAGAAATTGTCCGCCCAATGGGTAGGGACAAAGCGAAGAGAAAGGGAAAAGGGACTTCTTCGGGTGCATCCGATTTCAGCGGGGACATTGACGAAATGCGGAAAATAACATCGTCGTTTGATCGATATAATATTAATTTCTCCGAACGTTTGACTTTCGACAAAAAAAAAGAAGAAACAAGGAAAAGGAGCGGGCGGAGAGACAAGAAATGGAGGATATGAAGTTTTTGATGGAAAACGTCGATCATCTCTCGGGGCCGGCTCTCGAGCTCGTGATGAAGAAGAGGGAAAAAATTCTGAAAAAATATTTTCCGTAGGTCGTTGTTGGTTTGTTTGATTTTTAGTTTGTGTTTTTTTTTTTTTTTTAATTTTCTAGTTTTTTAAGTTTTAGGTTTAATGTAAGCTTTATTTTAATTAATAAAATGTTTTTTATTTTTAATTAAATTTTATGTTTAGTATTAATTTAAAAATTATAAATCAGAAAAAAAAATTAATTTTATTTAAGAAAAAAAAAAGTGAAGGAAGGGCCTCCCACACCCTCCAGTCTTATATGTAGGGCTGTAAACGAACTGAACGTTCGGCGAACCGTTCGTAAACTGTTCGGCGGGAAGTTCGTTTATGTTCGTTTATTTAATAAATGAACGAACATGAACACAAATTCTCGTTCGTTTAGTTAAACGAACGAACATGAACAATGGTCTCGTTCGTTTATTTACGTTCGTGAACGTTTGTTTATGTTGTTCGTTTACGTTCGTTTATGTTCGTTCGCTTAAGGTTTTTATGTTCATATATTTTCAATTGTTTTTGTTATTACATTACTATATTATAGTTCGTTTATGTTTATATATGTTCAATTGTGTTTGTTTATCTTTGTTCGTTTATGTTCGTTCGTTTATGTTCACGAACATAAACGAACGAACATGAACAAGACAATTTGTTAAACGAACGAACATGAACAAGAAAACTTTGTTCGTTTATCCGTTCGTGTTCGTTCGATTGTTCGGCTAACTTAAACGAACAAACATGAACAAGCCTTTGTTCGTGTTCGTTCGGTTCGTTTACAGCCCTACTTATATGTATTACTGTTGCGTGGAGAAGAATAGGGACGGTGACCAAACTCCGACTCAGCCATTGACGAGACTGTGCAAAAGCCCTAAACTCCATTTTCGTCATCTACGTCTCCATCTCCACTCTCATCTGTAAATCATTTGACTACTGTTAAGCCAGCATATATGTGATCGAGCCCCTTCATCACCGACCACCACCTCTGTCACAAGCGTCGCCACCGCCTTGACCCTATCTGCTTATATTTACCACCACTGCTTCCATCACCCCTTTAGGATCCGTTGCCACCATCTCCAAACGCTATTTTCCTCCGCTAACATCTCCTTCTATCGCCAGCCAATTCCCACATACCTACTGTCGGCATCATGATTAACCCACCACAACTGCTTGAGCAAAAAGACGAAAGAGGTTCATGAGTATGTTGAGTAGTAGAAACTAGAAAGATTAATACCTAAGTTATCATTCTTTATGTCTTATTTTGACTTTTGCGATTAAATTTTAGACTATAGCTTTCTTTTGGCCGGTGACTTTGCTTCACCGTAGTTGAAGCCGAGTTTTATAATTTGAATTATGTATGTTATAGAAAGTTTCGCATATTAATCTGATATGGAGACTTAGCAAAATGATTCTATGTTCTATTAAGTTTATTTGTATTTTTATGTTTAATGTATTAGAATTGATGGCGATTTGGAAACACTAAATTTGAAAACAATTCTGTAAATAAGCCACCAATAGGTCCAACTCAGTTGAAGAACACTCACGGTAATTCATTGTTATTA